CCCCCCCTGCCACAAGGTGTCCATGTCGTGGATCACAAAAGGCTGCTTGAAAAAGAAGCAAGGAATTAGGAACCTGCCGCGGGGATTCAGGATACCAGCTCTGCCGAGGACACTCGCATCTGTCTGCCCGTCAGCGCCCGGGCAATCTGCATCCACCCACCACAGCGCAAGTCTGCAGAGCGACGGGAATTTTCCCGGCGAGGGGCAGGATGTGTAGAGCCCACCTGGCTGCAGCTGGGAACTGGTGGAAGCGGGAGGGAAATGTGCAGCACCTCCCAGAGAACAGCCTCCCGTGTTGTTTCATGGCCAACCCCGCCTGCCCCAGAGAGGGAACTTACTGGGGTGCTGCTGGCCTTCCCGGTCAAGATACCTCGCGCCTTCTTTTTGGTCATGTTGAAGTTTTTCAGGTAGGCGTTGTAGATGTGCTTGGAGAAAGCTTTCAGGTCGGCCACCTGTGGATTCTGGCAGCTGATCTCGCTCGCCGTCAGCCCCGCCACCAGCTTCCTCTTCTCTGCCTCCGGCATGCGACCGAAGCGGATTGCTGTGGTGGGGGGCAAAACCAGTGGGTCAGGACACTGGGGATGATCCCTGGAGACATGTCCAGGGAGGCAGACAGAGGTCTGCTGGTGAACACCTGCAGCTACGCAACACAATTCTTCTCCAGGGCTGCAGCTCCTCTGGCATCAACACCTCCATGAACCAGCCGTTACCGCTGCCCTCGCCAACACCACCGCACACCGAGCTCCCATCCCTTCTCCTCTGGGCTCTCGCACAAACTCTGCTTTCCACATAAACACCTTGGCTTGGCCCAGAACAAGATTGTTACACCTGAAGTTTAAAAATCCCAGCACAGAAGAGCAACCTGTGCGTCCAGTTCCCTCTGGGTCAACCTGTAAGGGAGAGCCACGTGCTTGCAGCCGGCCTACGCAGTGGGAACGGACAGCCCCTTCTCATATGGAAGGAGGGGCTGAAGAGTCAAAGGCTCAAAGCGTTAGGTTTGAAATACGATCCCGTAGCAAGGAGAGAGCCCCGGGATAAAGCAAGCTACATACAGCCTCCCTATGCGAACCCTTC